ATTGCTGTCCTATTTATCAGTTTTTCAAAGGTATAGAAGTTTAAACCAAAAGAAGGAAGAAAAGACAGACTAATCAATGATGGGAAAAAGGAATTATTGGACAGATAATATGTAACCTGTAGTCAAAACCCTTACCAGACTAAGCAGGAACCAAGTATACAACTCAACGTAAACAGTGAATGACTAAAGCGTGTTCACACATAATCCAAATGAGGCGACTGCAGTGAGTGATTTACACGAGATCCCGTTGTAAAGACGCGATCAGACTAAGCCACTGTGAGTTCACCATTGTGTCCGTGACAGGGAGCTTAAATATCAAGCCACCAACACCAGTTTACCCACATATTTGCATCAATATGATCATATCTTTAGCATCAATAGATCATGAATTACACCAATATCTATCAACCCATTCAATGTAACAGTCAATATAGCCACAAAAAGAGGTAAAAAGAGAAAAGTAATAAATTAGGGTCTTTTTTCAGGTGCTCATGTGTAGTACAACATATTGTAGTTGAAGCTGCAGGGGTCTCTGCACCCGCTCACCTGGAGATTGACGTCAGCCGAATGTTCAGTTAGCACCCGCACCACGTCAGTGAAGCCCTTGTTGACGGCAATGTGTAGCGCTGTGCACATGGAGTTGTTCAGTACGTTGACATTTGCCCCTTTGCTCAGGAGCAGCCGTGCAATCTCCGCCTGGTTACTGAAGTAAAAACAAACCAACATGGGTTAAACGTTTTTATTAGCTGGTCTTTGTTTTTATGAAATACTGGCTAATTTAGGTGAATCAAAGGACTAAAAATAAACTCATCACACCAGATAAATGCAAGTAGGTTTATGTCAACACCTTTGCAACATTTTCCCTGATTTCTGCATAAAAACTTGTCTACACATGAATGCAGGCTCAGAACAGTAACGCGCCCTTACCCAAAGGCAGTGTAGTGTAATGCTGTGTCTCCGTCTTCATCTTTCACCTCGATGGAGCTGTTGGCCTGCAGCAGAGCCTTCACCACCTCTGTGTGGCCTTGGTGAGCGGCGACCTGCAGAGCCGTCTTGCCTTGGTTCTTGATATCCACCTGGCAGGAACACAGACGAAGTTGGAGATTCATGAGAAACAAAAAAGCACAGCGCGCCAACAGAGCTGATCAGAGACTGGCACGAAATAATCTGCGCACACAAGCCTTTCTCCTTATACACGTGACAGAGATAATCCCAGCAGCAGTGCTGTCATAGCAAAACAGGAGCACAACAAAGATATGCCTTACAAAAGTATTCACACCCCGTTAAGTTTTTCCCCATTTTTTCACACCACAACCATAAACTTCAAGGAGAAACTGCTGGAAAAATCAACAATGTGTTGAGCTTTCCTTACCTGCTCGGGGTTACATGGGTTTTATCTCTACCAGCTGTAGACCTGGAAGGATTTTTTCTTTTTTTAGGACCTCTGTAAAACTTTTAAAGCTAAGTTAGAATGGAATAATAGACTAAGTGAGGCCAGAACTGAGACAGTCCTTGATCTGAACCATTACCTGGTATCTGTGGCTGTATGTTTAGGTTTGAGATCCTAGAAGTTGAAGCTCTGCTTCAGTCGCAACTCTTTGCAAACATTTTCTTTTTCTTCCAGGATTGTCCTGTATTTAGCTCAGCCCATTATGCCATCTACTTCAATCAGTTTCCCTCCTCTACAATGAACAGAAACCTTCCCACAGCATGATGGGTTTCATTGTTGGAAAATGTTTTCAGCAACATCAAGCTTTTTAACTGTAGGCCAAAAAAATTAGCTCATTCTCACCTAGTGAGATCACTCTTCTAATTGTCTTGTTTCAAACTGTAAACACTCCATAATGGCTTCCTTCATGCCAATCTTTTATAAAAGATCAGATTTGTGGAGAGGAAGACTAACAGTAGTCCTGTAAACCACCTGAGCAGTGGATCTCTGCAGCTCCTCCAGAGTTACAAAGGCTGCTTCTCTGATTAATGCGCTCCGTTCCCTGCCTGTCAGTTCAGCTACAATTCCATGTCCCTTTAGGTCTAAAATTGTACAATACCCCGTGGTTCTGGATGGTGATTAAAACAGTGCTCTGTATTCAAATTTACTAAATGAATCGTTTAATAATCTGCCCCAGCTTTGAGCTTCTAAACACCTGCCTCTCTGACCGGCCTGCTGCTTCTATGTTTCCATGATGCTGTTTGTTTACTAATGTTCTCTAACAAACCTCTGAGGCTTTTACTGAACATCTGGACTCATCATGAAATCAAATTAAACACAAGAGAGCACTGGCTTCTGATTAGGTGAACTTCAAATAAAATGGGGTACATTTGGATTTTAATTAAAGTAAAAGAGTCATAGGGAACAGATTTGCATTAAAAATCTCCCATTTTTGTGTCATTTTCCTTTAACCGCACAATGAAACACGATTTTATGTTGGTTTACCACATCAATTATTAAATACCCCCATTGAAATGCAGCTGTAGATAAACATTAGAAATGACCAAAATAAACCCACAGGCAAATATATTATAACGCAAAAGATGAAAACTTGATATGAACAATAAAGCCATATCTTAGATTTCCTTCAAACAAAGAATCTAAGCATTTTTTTTACTGTTGATATCTTGCCCAGCCCTACCTTTAATTATACATATTTGAAATAAGTTAAAAAGAAGATAAATCAAACCAGATGCAGCAGGTTTATCATCTTATCAAACTGGTTGTTCTTCTCTCTCTGTAGCCTCAGTTTATAAGTAACTCTGCTGCACTGTTTGTGTGGAAAAGGGCACATGGCGCTGTGTCTCACTGAAGGTCACAGATCTCCATTTATTAGGTCTTTTTAATCCTTAGAGAGTTTCTCCTGCACATACTAAACAGCAGTGATATAACCATTTGTTGATAGAAAAAAACAAAAATCATCACCGATAAAATGCAGGATTTACTTCAGAGGGGAAAAAACAAAAAACAACAAAACCTCCTAAAATGTTAATAAAAAAAGGTACCTAACAGGAATTTACTGATTTTTTTCCTGTATTTGACAGCATGTTTCCAAATAGATTAATCTTTCAATATATTAAACACACTTCTGGTAATTATTCAAATCAGTCTGTTTTTTTTTTCACTCAAATCTTGGTCATAAATAATATAATAATCAAGGCTTTTAATTATGAAAGTTATTTTACTTTTCATGACAACTTTGGGTTAAGGAAACACATCTACAGCAGATAAATGGAAAACACAGGAAAAACATAACATGGTGTAGATTAAATAAAAATAACCAATTAGGGTGTTTTGACTGAAAACAAGCACTGCATTAAAACCTGTGATTTAACATGAGGTCCAAACCTGGAGCATTTATTTAGACAAATTAATCTGGAGTTCATCATGAATCCAGCTTCTAAAATAAACACAGCAGATTTTATATTTGTTTAGACTAAATAGGAAACGACCTTTGGATGTGCCGCTAAACAATCACTGCTTTATGCAATGGAGGAATTCATAGAGGCACATGAGTGACCTATTCGCTGGCTTACCTTACATACCTGTATAATTTCAGCATTCCTATCTATGGTAAATAATACCCACCAAAGGAAAACTTATTGAAATGAGCTGCTTCAACTGCTTATATGAAATCAATCCCCAAAACATTAAGATTTTCACTTTTTCCTAAATTTTTTATATCTCTAAACGATGCCATAGATAGGTTCTGTGTAAACACCCTGATGCTCAAAATATAGGTTTGTTAAATTAAATACAACATATTATCATATATCTCAGTGTTTCAAAGCAGAAACCAAATCATGANAATGAGCTGCTTCAACTGCTTATATGAAATCAATCCCCAAAACATTAAGATTTTCACTTTTTCCTAAATTTTTTATATCTCTAAACGATGCCATATATACATTTTATTTACAAAACTCTACACTCAAAATATAGGTTTGTTAAATTAAATACAACATATTATCATATATCTCAGTGTTTCAAAGCAGAAACCAAATCATGAGATAAATTAGTTTTTATGATTTCATCAAACTTCTTGCTTTGGTTTTTCCTTCTCTGATTAAATAAACTACACCTTGGACTTCAAGGAAAAGGAGAAATGCTGCACAAACCTTGTCAGGATACTTTTGCACCAACTCCCGCACTTTGTTGGCACTGCCGTGGGCCGCCTCGATCACCAGCCTGCTGGGGTTGTCCTGCTCCGTGGACTGAGACAGAAGCTTCTCCAGCACAGAGATGACAGTACCTGATCAGACGCAGAGGGGGGAGGTTGTGGAAAGAGGATAAGAAAGATGGAGAAATGTTAGTGTCGTCAATCTAAAGTTAACCACAAAGGACTTTCAGCAGGGCAGAATCCGAAAAACAGCAGTAGTTAATGAATTTGTCAGAACTGAACAAAACCACAGGAATGAGTCAAAATGTCCTTCCATGCAGAGTGAATCTGACCACACATACATGCACACACAGCGACATGTTATCACCCTTCCATCAACTGAGGTGAACATAAACACAGAGTATGATATGATTAAGAACTTCTGACAAGATGTCAAATGTCAGCAGAGCTGCCAAAGCGTCTTGCTGTCAGCACGCTGCAACATGCTACAGGGAAGAGCTCTTAAACAAACGGACACCTTGTTTGCACATTAATGGGAAAAAAAAGAAAAGAAAGACCATTTCTGGCAGCCTGTGTGAGGAGGCATGCAAAGCAGAGACAGAGCTAAAAGGAGGGCTGGAGAGGATGAAAGAGTGACAAATGAAGGCCAAGCCACAGCGCTTTGAGATGAGCTCCCTGGTCCCCGCAGAGGCCTTACTTCCAGATTCGTTGGGGTTCTCGGCCGTCATGAGGTTTGCATCGACCTCTGCAGGCTGGGCTGAAAGGCACGCTGGGTTGAACGTCCAAGTCTGGCCTCCGAATGCCACCCGTAGGTCGCCATCTGCATATACTTTTAACACCTTTCCGACCTGGCCAAGCACCTACAGAGAAAGCACCAAGGTAAGAGTCATCTTTTACACTTTAATTTAGATAACAAACCAGGCAGCAGGAAACCAGAAGGACAACTTAGAATTATTTTGGTGAGAGAAGTTGTTAAAATGTTTAGAAATACACTAAGAAACCAAATCATCCTGTTAGAAAACGCACCAAGTGCAACTAATAATGCTGATGCCGCTGCAGGGAGAAAACCTAAAGTCTTTGCTAGAGTCAGAGAAGGAAAGATATAAGAAGCTTTAATAGCAGAAGTAATTTTTATGATGAGACATATATATGGGGTGGGGTCGGGCAATAAGAAAATATTTCCAACCAATATCCATCAGTCCAACAAATGGCGATGGAATATATTCGTGCAAGTGACTTTGTGGGTAAAGACAAGCACCCCTTCGGAGCGCGACTTCTGCACCACTGGTAATATTGTTAACCACCTGTGCATTGCTCAACCGCAATATGGTAAAAAAATGTATAATTTTTGTCTAGAGTGAATAGTTTCCCCTTTTCAGTTGCTCTGACCATGTTATGAGACAATATAGTTGTTTTTAATAGTTGCACCTAGAAGGAGTTTGTGTGTACCATTAAAAACAGAATTGTGTTTTTTGTTGTGAGGGCAGCAACTTAACCCGTAGGTCCAAAAAAGAAACAAAAGTAAAAAAAAAAAAACGCTCTTAAAAAAAAACGATCGTTGAAGGGCTGAATCTATCATCAATGGTCGATAGATTTGTCCGATCGCCTAACCTTCATATGGGGTTTATTTAGGTAGCGGGAAAGAAAGGGAGAGCAACAGGAAGTTGTTTCAGGAAAGGTGCTTTGTTTTATCTTCTGTCCGTTGCAAAATATGCTAGATCTAAAGGAAAGGGACTTTAATTTTCCAGGAGAACCAAGTATGGTGTTTTAGTAAAAAAAATCATTAAGTTGAAGAAAAAGATACCTTCACACATAAAATCTCTGAATAGTACAGTCCAAAGAAAAATTTTAGGAAATCAGAACAGTAATTTCATTAAATAATTAAATAAAATTCATTATATTTCTTTACTTGTTTAAACTTCTGTTTATAGCTTCACAAGAACAACAACAAAAAAACGACATATTAATTAAACTGGAGTTGAATAGAAACTAAAGCCCAGCATACAGGAGTCATGCTGTCTGTCCACTCCCCATGGCCAGCCTGAAGTCTCTTCACAGTCTCCAGCTCCTCCAACACTTTAACCAACTCCCCGACTCCAAAGGTGTTCACCTGACAGAGGAAGAAGGAACGCATTAACGTTTCTGAAGCTAAATCTAAAATCATATTGAAGCTGTGATCAAAGCTGTTCTGCCTTCTATGATTAGTACCTTAGTGAGCGCTCCTGGATGGAAGGTCCAGCGGATGTTGTTGCTGTACTGGACCCGGACGTCTCCTCTGTCGGTTATTCTATGAACTGTCCCAATCCGACAGATGTACTGCAAAAAAAAAAAAAAAAACGGTTTGTTATTCAAGGTCCCCTCAGACCACAACACTGCAATCAGCCACCATGACAGTGAATGTGGATGCTCTGATTGCCTTCGGTTTATTAGAGCATCCATCAAAGCCACTCTATCGGCGATGCAAACTGAGGAGAGAGCAAAGTGTTTCTACCCTCTCACCAAAGGAGTGGTTCTCATACGTACCTCTGCCATTTTGGGGTTCCATCCACCATGTCCTTCCTGCATCTGTCGCAAGATGTCCACCTCCAGCAGACATTTGACTTTGTCTCCCTGCTGAAATGAGTGGCCGTCAGCGCTTTCCTGGCGCTGGAGCTCTGCATGCTCACCTGAGTGGAAAGGAAGAAGCGAAGAGTCAATGACTGCCTTCTGGGTTTTGCAGAGGGAGACACTCCATTTACTCAAAATTTTGCCCGGAAAACTAAATATTTTACAGCGATTTTATTTGACAGACCGATAGATATTGGTGCTGCGTTGTAAAATGGTTTAATACATTGATCCTGCTTTAAACCTTTGAATAAAAATGAGTGCACTGCACTTCAGTTAGTGAAGTAAGGCAGGCCGTTTTGATATAAAATCAGCTTCATCACACTTAAATTACATCTTGAATCTGTTTTTGACAAGACATAATAGTTAATTAAGATAACTGCATTTACATTTAGACAAGGTTTAATACTAATTATTAATTAATTAAAACTAACATTTTGCCATTGATGATACTGTATCTTGAATTGTTCTTGTCACTAGTCATGATACAAACTCTGATATCTTAAAGTACCATTCAGGATATTTAAAATGTAGTTCATCTTAAAACTGTTTACAGATAGAAAGAAGAAGTTCATTTTATGTTAAAAGAATTTGCCATATTGAAAGAGTCTACCTGCATGTGCAAAGGATAAACCCTTTGGAACAGGCTACATTTTTACAGATTAATGAACAAACATTATTGGGAAGACAGCAAGCAAGAAAGGATTGTGGGAAAGTATAAAGCAGGCTTAGGTAATAACATTATTTACTAAGCTTTGGAGATCTTTCTGAGCAACGTTCATACCACTATCTGGAAATAAAAAGAGTACGGTTCAACAAGAAGTCTATAAAATAATTGTCTCCTCAAACTAAGAGGACAGAAAAGGATGGCATCAATCAAAGGAGCAGTCAAAAGAACCACACCAGCTCTGGAGGAACCAGAGACAACAATAATTCAAATAAGAGCTTCTATCGACTAATCATGCCTACAAAAGTTTTGTAAGAAAGGCTGTGTAAGAAAGACACATCTAATCAGTGAAGGAGTGTGCTCTGTTGATAAGAGAAATTAAACTTTTTTGGTCTGGATGCAAGACTAGAAAATCACATGACCCTAAATGTCCAGATGGTGGTGGCAGTATGATGTAATGGGGATTCTTTCATCAGTCTGTCATAGGTAAGATGGGTTAAAACTCAGGGCTGTGCTGGAAGAAAAATTGTAAAATCCTGAAAAGGATATGTTGAGGTTCAAAGTTCAATATCTGGTAAAACATGCTGCAAAAGCAACAATGAAAGACCAGAATCTCAGACCTGAAAACTGATATATAAAAAAGTGAGACAGTTTTCACACATTTTTTGGCACCACAATTCTTCTCCATTTCATTTAGTATATTCCATAAAATTCCATCAAAATGATTCAACTGTTGAAGGTGTGAATATGTTTTCGGGATAAAGTGTTCTCTGTTCACATACATACCAAGCTTAGGTAGGTGATCTTTGTAGTAGAAGCCTCCCTGACCATCCGACACGTACTTTAGGTCAACTTTGCCTTTGTGGCCCATTCGGTAGACGTTGGTAGTGCCATTGGACCAGGTGACACTGGCCACGCTGCGGCCGGACTCCGTGTCCCAGCCACGAATGTCCACCACTTTCCCAACCTTACCCTCCCCACCTAAACACACAAATACATTNTAGATTATTAGTTAAACTTTTGGGTGTTGGTGCTGAATTAAGGAAGCAAAGGGGCTCAGCAGCCATGTGGACTCCTACTTTCCTCTTGGATTGGTCAGTTAAAAAAAAAAAAAAAAAAAAAAAAAAACAGAAATACAAGAGGCAAAGCTGGATAAGTTTAAGGGTACTGGGGGAAAAATGCCCAGTGGATTAAAACTTTTCCATTTAAAAACAACATTTGAAGTAATATACATACAGGGTTATGATGAAGAGAAAGTATACAAAGAATACAGAGTCAGATACAAAGAGAAATGTTTTCATGGGGAAAACACCTGACAAAACCATTTTTTTTTTTTTTTCTTTAAGTTCCATAATGAAGAACACAGATTTTAAGAAATCATAGATTTTTAAGACCATTAAAGTAAATCGATTGATTTTCTTCTCCAGGAAAAAGAAAGTAGAATCTGAGCATGCTCTAAGAGCTCCACAAGCACAGGCTGCAGAAAGCCTGATGGGTGAGTTAGCTGAACCCCAGGGCAGAACCCAACAGGACATTTTGACTCATTCGGACTCAGACATGCAAACAGAAACAGACTTTTGACCATTTTCTCTTTCTATGAAGGGAGGATTTCCAAGCGTTCATTTAGTGCACTGATCTGGAAGATTGTTTTCATTTAAGGCTTCAATCCTTTGCTAAGCAGAGCTGAGAGAATCAAAGTACATCTTTCAAAACAACAAACACGCATAACATCATGAGAGTTCATATGATGGAGTAAAAAAGAAAGAGAACATGTTATGAAACAAGGACTCAACAAAGATTGTAACAAAACAAAAAAAACAAACTGGCACATCTGTGGGACAAACTCCAATGACGCATTGGTGATGCAAAACACACACAGAAACAGGTTAGTGTGGGTTAGTGAGGCGTAAGGTTAGAATGATGTTCACAAGGAGAGACACCTCTACGTTTAATGAAACCAACCGTAAAGAGAACCTGGTTAGTAATAAGACCCCCCCCCCCACACACAGACACACACACGCACACACACAGCAGACAAACAAACACAGCCCTCACCGTCCTGGTTCCCCCAGTCCCAGTCTGGTCCACGGACAACTTTGACTCCCTGGAAGATTCCTTTGAGGATGATGCGCGGGAGGTTCTGTCTCGGCGTCAGGTTCACTCTGTGACAAGAGCAGTAAGATGAAGGTGAACCAACACCTCAGCAGCCCACTTTAAAAAAGAGCAGCTAGGCAGCAAGTAATCAAATTAGCACCAACAAGACACATTGGATCAGCTAAGTTTGTTTGTTTTATCTTTGATTCTGTAATTAGTTTTTATTGTTTTCCTTCATCTTTATTCTTTTCCAAGTCTTCTAAAGGTTCTAACATCCTATTCCAGGCTCTTCGATCGGCAGACCTGATGCTTCCGACTTACCTGAACACATTCAATAAATGATGAGTAGATGGAGCCTTTATGTGGCTCCTAATATGTGGACTGAGCTGCTGCTGAGACAAGCAAGATATCTACTGCTCTTCTAAAAACTCACTTGAAACCAATTTTTGGGGGCCTTCAACCCAAAGCAAGTTAACATCTGACTTCATCTTTATCCTTTTATCTATGTACCTCTAATATTTCAACCTTCTATAGCTCCAACATGATTATCTGTTCTATTATTTTATTCCTGTTGTTTCTCTTAATCTCTTTCTAAAGCACTTTGGTTACTTGCTGTGCTGTTTTTCTAAAAAAAACAATGGGTATGATATTAATCAAATACATCTAGGTTGTTTATTGAACTTGGAATACTGAGGTAAAAGCAACATAAATGAACCGTACTTTTATGAATGATCACATATAATGTTCAAATGTTAAAATAAAGAGAAATACTTTGTTTTCAGTATGGATGTTTGACAGATATTGTACATATTAGCAGATGCAACTGATGTTTATGTGAGTAACTAGAATACAGTTAAAGTTTGATTGCAGCCTATTTAGCTTGTATTTAGACGCAGTTCTTCCGCATTCGCTTTCTTTTGACTAAAGTCTGGTTTATGCTTGATGCCTCCAGCCTACACGGCTAAATTACATTATTTAGCATCCATGCCCCACCATACCGATATCATTTTGAAACTAGGAAGATGTGTAACTACACGGACTGTTCAGAGAAGGAAACACATCTATGATGATAGACAGCTCTGTATGATTTGGTTCATAATAATTACAACAATAAACATATTGTGAAAAATAGATTACTTTGCTTCTTGGATGACATATTAATGCTATAAAAATGATTTCTACTTCAACATGATGAGTGGTGTAGTAAGCCTGCACTCTATGCACAATAAGCCCCTCTGGAGTCAGACAGAATATTGGGTAAAGCAGGGAAAAGCAGCACAGAGTAGAAATGCTGCAAACGATACATGAGGCATAACCAAACCTCAAGGCTGCACTTGAGAACTTTTCTGCTCTTCTCTTTCAAATACTATCATGCTTTTCTTACTTAATAACCACAATAGTTTTTTTTCTATATAAAGTGCAACTGCAATGCTTTGGTCTGAATTATTGTAGCTTCATGTTTACTCTTGTTCTGAGGTTCATCTGCGTTCCCTTTAGATGGAATAGATGCACTTCCCACCCTGCCCTCTAGGATGACCAGATGTCCCGATTTCTACGGGACAGTCGTGCATTTTTCACTTCTGTCCCACAAATAAAAGCAACGTCACGCATATTATTGGGTAGCATTGGAAAAAAAAGGTAAGAAAATTAATTGACAGGTGCTTTTCCTTAATGCGAGCAAAGCAGAGCTGCAGTTATTGTCACAGAGCTGAACATGATGCTCTAAATTAGAACAGGTAAACGCTTTAAATACAAAACGACTGAAAAAGCCACGTCTGCACCACATTGTCCCTCATTAACATCCTAGTTCTCCATCCCTTTATGTCGAGGTAATATGTTTAACGTGGGTTTTCCTGCCAGGAAAAAAGGAAAGAGAGACTTCGAGCTAACAAGGAGATCTATGCAAGCATGTAGAAGTGAGCTATATCAAACAGAAGTTACAGTAAAGTCTCGCAACCATGGACCCTGGACCTTCAAGCCTTGAAGATCATGAAAACAGTGAAAACGTGGAATGACACATCTACATTATGTGGATGTCTCCATACCTTGCTGTCAATACAAAGGGAAATTGTAATAAAATCAAATTATTGGTTGAAAATAATTTCAATGTAGATTCTTGGCAATGATGGCTTTAAGAAGGACAAACTTAACTTTTCATAACTCCTAGACTTCAGATATGTTAAATGTTTTAAAGAGGAAGATTTGTTAAGATTCTGAATAATATGTCCCCTTCTAATGCAAGTGTATTTAAAGGACTAAGGATTTAGGCTGCTGACATTTCTTAAGTGACATTAATGGATGGTTGTATTCTGGTTTGGAGAGGTTTTAAAAAGTTACATTTTATAAAGAAAACAATAATTTTCTGTTAAAACATCAATTCTTGAGAAATTGTAAACTTGAAGATGCAAGGTAACATAGTGCTGCCCTTCCCCCACGTGTTGCTGTGAGCTCTTGTCAGCAGTTTTTTCTGCGTTCCCAAGAAAGACAAATTCAGGTGGATAATATTTCTAGATGTGATGAAAGTAAATGGTCATAAATTTGATGAGGCAGAAGCAGCACTAAATGATATCATGTTTAAAGTTTGGTATGACAGTAATGTTTTGAAATACCAACAAATTACAATAATAAATAAAAATAATTTGGGGTCATAGTAACTAAATTATAAACATTCAGTAAAAACTCTAATTTTAGCTATAGTAGTATGATTGATGATATTCTTTTTTCTTTTTGGGGGGCTCTGATGAGCAATCAGGAGGTCTAACTCCAAGAAAATCAAAACACTTTCAGCCTATTCATCAAATTAATCAAAACCTAGAACTCCACCATGTTGATAAATAAACGCATCAATCAACAACAGGTACTTGGATGCGATTCTTTGGCCTATGACATTTTAGATGAAGGCTAGGGGGGTACTTCTCAATATAAAAAACAGTGATTATCATACAATTACTTCATGTTTTGTCAAATATATCAATTCCTAAAACTATCAAAAACCCTGGAGAACATATTTTCTCCTTTACATATAATCTCTATGTAATAACAATGAATAACAAGAAATAAATAGGTCAACAACAAAAACGTAGACATCCATAAACTGCTAAAGATCAGGAATCAGAGCATTGATACAAAGAATACATCATGACAATTTCATCTGACAAAACTGACATACCTTATTGTGAAGATTTGATCAGACCTTGTTGCAAAGGAGCTGCCAATTCCCATGCTTCTCAACAGGATCCAGGTCCCATTTCAACCAAGCAGCTCCGACAGACTCAAAATCATTTAACATCCAAATTGATGTTTCTTTTTTGAAGAGGAGTTTTATGAGTGCGCTTTCTTAAGGCGTTTCAGAGAAGTTTTCGTGGCATACCAGGTTGCGTTTCCGTCTAAGGTTTTGTTTACCATACTTGCTGGCTCCGCTGATCTACAGCGGGACGTGGCAGCCCATTTGGCTCGTAAAGCCAACTAGCAGTAAATCTCAGGATGGTACTGAGCTCAAGCAGGATGGTGCTCAAAACAGTCTGAGCAGAGCTTTTAGCCTAATCCTAGACAGCAGAGAGATCTGAAAGCAGGCCAACTTAGGGCAAGTCATAAACATTCACAGGATGGCAACTAAATGTACCTATTTAAATATGCATATGCACTTTTGTATAAAACACAATGATGGTGAGACTATTATTAAAGTAAAAAAAAAGTTTTGATCAGTTTACACTGGTTTTGTAACACAGATTGGATGGAAATGATCAAAACAAACAGGAGAATCCCTTCTTACAGAAGCAGAACTTTCTCATAAATAATAATTTAAAAAAACAAAAAGATACCATTCATTTCATGCTTAAAGAATAAGTTAAGCAACAACCGCCCCATTTCTGTGAAAGGTAAACATCACTTCAGTGTTTGATGTTTGTAGCCTTTCTTCCGAAGGATCAACATTTGTAATCCCTCTGAACCAAATGTCAGCCCTGATCATAGAAAGGATCAAGGGCAAAGAACCTACTGACACAAAAAGATTTGCCTCATTATTGCCAACAAACTATGGGGGAAGACAAAGTGAACAACCACAATGTTAAGAAAAAAAGATTAAAGAAGGAGGGAATCTTGTGCAAGAAGCTACTTATTTGATTAAAAGGTTGATTATTAAAAGTTATACTTTAATACCTTTTGAAGTGAGGTTCAAGTAGCAGTTATAACCTGCAGAGTATCCTGTAGGTGACACCATTTAGTGTCAATCCAGATTAGTTTTATATCCGGAGCTGAAGCTAAGGGCTAATCAGGAAGGGGACCAAGCATGTAGAGAAAAGCTTTCCTTTTAATTGAACTCTGAACTTTATTAATCTCACACTGGAGAAATTCACCTCTGCATTTAACCCATCCCCTTGGGGAGCAGTGGGCTGCCATCTGGGGGTTAAGGGTTTTGCTCAGGGAGCCATAGTGCAGGCTGTGGGGATCAAACCAGGTACTTGCAACCTCCTTAGAGCAAAAGCACAGTGCTCTAACCACTAGGCCATCACTCCCCTAGGTAACCTTAAGTGATATGCTATTATTAATATTCATACCATTTTAATTTTAAGCCAGAAACTCTGATGGAAAATATATTCTATATGTTGTATCTTCAGTTTGTTGGTCAGTCAGGAAGATGACCGGTGTTACACCTCCTTCAACTTTTGTTTTCTGTTTAATTACCAAATTTTCCAGAATTTAGAGCGCACTGTTACTACCCGATCCGTCCCGGAAGTACGATCCGTTCTGCGAATGCGCCATCAGCTCATATGTGCATCCAGATATACATCCAGGTCGGCCCGATTTTATTTTGTTAAAAAGACCTAAATGAAGCGTACTAAAATATAATGTGTGAAACATTAATGTATTTCCTGAGAAAATAAATGCCTTAAAATCCTTTTTGTTTTATCACTCATCTCTGCCCGATCTGCACTGGAAATAGGATCCTACGCTACTTCCAGGAGCTAACTTTTTCGGCTTTGGATTTAAAAATAAATCTTTTTGAGGTATATGTTTTCCTTTTGTGTTAACCTTATGGTATATAGTGCGTAATTTAAAGAAAGACAAC